GCAGATGTTACAACAAGACCAATGGCACTTTCTCCAGCGGCACTCTGCCTCTAATGCATCGCGTGGCGCCATGCCAGCAGGACGGGCTGGAGATGGTGCCTCTGGGCCAGGTTTCGTCGCAGTGCCACGGCCCCGACAGCCAGATGCACTGTGATGACCAGGGGGCCGACGCAGCGTACCAGCCAGACGAGCACAAGGAGTCCTCGCCCTCACAGCATTCCTGCTGTCTGGTTGGGAACAATGAAAACTGTCCAGCAGACAACACTGGTGAGACACATTTTTATACCCACAAAATCTTTCCAAGGTCTTTTTCCTCCTCCGCCACTTTTTCTTTTCTTTTTCCTCCTCTTCTCTCCTTCTGGTGTTTTCTCACTTGTGATATACAGAACCAATAGATAATAGGAAAATCATTAGATTCTGCCTGCATGATGCAGTTGATGAAATTAAATTGCCACAGAGAAGAGCAACTTCTCACTGCCTTATTGGCCCTGGTTATGCGTTTCCTTTATTTCAATAGATCTATAATTACAGGTCATTTCTGGTTAAACACTAATTAATTGAATCATGAGGTTTTAGAATACAATATAGAAAATTAGATGCAAAAACTAGATTAACTTTAGGCCCGGATGAATTATCCCCTTGCTTTTTAATGTTTTCTCATTGTAATAGTTTTTCATTGCGACACTTTTTAATCTTTGGATGGTAGCGTCTCTTACTTGTCGCCAGTGAAATATTTGATGATAAATGTAGCAATAACGCAGAATAACATAATTATATCAGACTGACTAACAGCCTCTACAGCAGTGTATATGGATATACTAGTTATCAGCCCCCTAGCACAGTGTAAATTTAACCATAGACAGTTACAGGCATAGTTCCATATTTTGGGAAGCACACTTATTTGCTTTCTTGCCAAGAAGATTGATACCACACTCCATAAGAGAGAAACTGGTTAGCTTAGCAAAAAGACTGGAAAAGTCTCAACCTGAGGATGCTCGGCAGCCAACTGAGACTCCAGAAAGTCCTTTCTCCAAGCCAAGATAAAGTCTAGCACTAAGCACTAAAAACTTCAACATTTTTAAAAGTTGTTTTTTTGCCCGGATTTAACAAAGTTGTTAATTAGTGATATTTAAAAGCTTAAATCGTTGGACAGAACCGGGTTAGTTGTTTCCCCCTGTTTCCCGTCGCTGTGCTAAGCTAACCTGCATCTAACTATAGCTTCATATTACTGAGTGGTATAAACATTTTCATCTTACTCTAAGCAAGAAAAGTATCGTATTTCACAAAATGTCAAACTATAACTATTGTATAACTATTGACATTGGAACTGAAAAACAAATTCCCAGTGATTAAGTGAAGACATTTACTTCCAGACCCTCATGGTTAAAAACTATTGTGAAATCAAACTCTGACAGTCCTTCTTCATGCCCTACTAGTTTTTATATCATTACCAATCCTCATGTTGTATGCAGACAAGCTATGCAGGATCACCACAAATTACACTGTGGGCCTCTCCAGAATCTGCTCTTGTCTTTTTTAATATGAAGTATAAACCAAAGACTCTTTCCTCTCTCTCTTTATCACCCTCCTCTCTCTCTCCCTCTCTCTCTCTGCTCTCTCTCTCTCTCTCACCTCTCTCTCTCCCTCTCTCCCGTCCGTTCCCTCTCTACCTGTGCAGCTGAGGAGGAGCTGGAGTGTGTGGACACGGAGGGCCCTGTGGTGTGCTGGGAGAGTCTTGGCCTGCCAGACTTGGACTGTGACGAAAAGCCTGGGTGGATCTCCAGCAGCAGCCTGGCAGGAGAGCTGATCCAGCCCAGCCCACAGGAGGTCTGAACGCAGCCCACACACAAACAAGCACTCCTGCAGTGTGGAGATTTTAGAGAAACCAGGCTGAGAGACTGGACGAGAGACAGTGGTGGAAAATGTCACAGAGGAAGTATGAGGACCAGCGATGGTATAGTCAGAGACACTGCATGTTACGGTGACAAAGACACAAAACTTTCGATGGACTGAGCTGAGATGAGCGACGTGGGAAAAGACATTACAAGAGACTGAGAGCAAAGTGAGATGGAGGGAAACCTAAAGAGCAAAGGAAACGTTGCTCAAAGACTGAAACTATATCCCACTGGAGGGAAGACTCGTAAAAGATCAAAAACTCTTTAGATGACTTATTTATTTTTTTGTAGTAGTAAAATATTATTTCATATGAATGTATCTGTTTTAAAGGAAAAAAGTTTGTCTTTTATATTATTTATGCCTTTTGGATGAGAATATTTTTTGTTGTTTTGTCCCTTTATGTTCCGCTTAAACGTGGAGATTAGCAATTGTCCGTGTAAAGTTTTGTAATAATATAAAGAGAAGATATGGAAGAGTAAACAACAGCCTATTTTCAATGTCTTTCCTCCCCTCCTTCATGTGCAGCGCCCTATGACTGATTGCCATAGTGAAATTCCCGGCCTCGGTCCAAACCCATCGATATTTCTGGCAGGCCTTTGATGTGGCTCTGTGATGGGCTGTTCCACTGCAGTGACCCCTGAACGGGGTGAACACTCCCTTCCCTGTTCAGATTAAGGCTGCTGCTCTTTGCTTCAGTGAATACTCGATAGCTCATCACTTTACGCAAAATGCACTGTTGCTTTGAGAGCACTGTTGACCTACTGGCCCCAATCTGTTAGAGAAGTGGAGTAGTTGCATTAAAACAGAATTGTTAAGTGAGAGGAGTCCTCTCGCACACATCTTTGTATGTTAAAACCGCTCTGCTGCGAGTAACAAAATACTTTTTGAGATTACACAGTTGAAGATGATCTGACCAGGTGGAAATCTAGTGCCAATCTCCAGATCTAAAACACAAACTGCATCATAAACAGCAGAAAACTCTTCATCCAGAGAAGACAAGATCCTCTGTCATCAATGTGGTGTTCTTGGTATTAAAGGGTCACTTCACCTAAATCATAAAAAAAACAGGTTTTTTCACTATAACCTTCCAATGTTGTGTTGTTTCATTTGGTTGTGTCCACAAACAGGTTGCCCCAATTAATGAACATTGTGGTCTGTGGATAATTAAGAGTAAAAAGGACATTGTTTATGGAAAGACACAATGCTATTGAGCTTTTCAATTAGTACAAACTAAATTTTTATAACTTGAGTTGTACTCAAAAACTAAAACTAATCTGCATGGCTGGCTACCACTAGGGGCTCAGTGATTTGGGTGAAGTGACCCTTTAAGTAATCACAAATTGGGAAGATTGGTAAAAATGGCCATCTGTCCCAGTTTAATGCCATTACAATCCATGATTTCTTGGAACTGACTGTTGGAGCTGCTAACACGCTGGTGTAGCGTTAATATTTTGAAAACTAAATGGACAGTGGTATATTAGAAACAGAAGGAGGGTGATTTGAAATGCTCCTGATGTGTGAGGGTACTGCAGATAACTCATTCATAAAACGGTTGTAATATACTCTTCTCAGGTTTCAGCCTGCGTTAGCCTAACCCATTTTTCTGAAAGCTTAAACCCTCCATTGGTTTTAAAATAATCTCCATGGTGTGTTGGCTGATTGGAGTTGATAGGATTGCAGCGGGCAGATGACAGGGCTGGCCGTGCTTCACTGAGGATGACTGTGGTGCAGGCTTTCCATGCCTGGTGCCTGTCTGCCTGTGTTTTTGCCAAAGTTGGCTGCCAGTCCTCAGGCCCCGGCTCGCCTGGCATCTCTCCTCCCCCTGATGGTATATGGGATATTCCTGGCACCCGGATTTACTCGCCTGCTGCTGAGGCGTGGCATGGCCTCTTCCGGCTGTTATTTTTAGTCTCGATGGAGACTGGCGGCATTCGTTCAGTTGACTTCACTTAAACTCAGTTCTTTCCCAGGAATAGCCCGCCTGAGTTTCTCAGGCTTGAAACCCTCAAGTTTTTTAGATGTGCACCGATTTGAATTTGTTTCTGAGGTGGGAATCCAAAACAAAAAGTGACTGACCCTTGCATTTTTGGAAGAACTCGCTATTCTCTGCACAGTCGCATTAAGTTTCCTTTCATCTTTTACTTTATTTCCATGCAGTAGCTCACTCGAGTGTCCATTATGATTCCTCATTAGGATGAGAAAGGAACAAAACAATGAGTAGGAAATGAAGCTGGAAAAGAACGAGAAATGGTCCAGGGAGGGAGAGGGGATGCTGACAGATGCAGGCTGGGCTGATGAGGAGAAGATAAGGGCATGGTTGTCTCTAAATGAGCTGCTTCTCCATCTCCCACGTCTATCAGTCGGCACTCTCCCTCAGCCCTGCCCTGCACCCTCTACCCACGCAGCTACACCCCTTCATTAAGGAGCCCATGGGAACAAGAAAGCTCATTGTCCGCCTTGGAATTTCTGCCCCCTTGCTGCAGAGCCGACCTGTTAACGCCAGTCCCTCTCCCCTCCGCCTACCATTCTTCCTCTCTCTCCCCTCTCCAGCACACCCTGAATGAATGCAATTCTTATGAATTGGGCAGTGTGTTGTTAACTCGCTTGATTCAGCCCCGGGCGGTTTCATCCTTGAGATGTCACAAACCACAAGTGAAGCATGTTGTGGTTGGATGAACTCCAACAGCATTCCAGTGGGTCCCTGCAAATGATGAGCTCACATGACTAATAATCTATGTTTCCTCAAGGATATCCGCTATTTATTTGTTATTATCAGGCTCATGTCTTGATGCATGAAGATGTCACACAGCCAACTTTCACCGGGGTTTCACGGTGATGTAACCACAGCATTTGTAGACTGCACCTGTTGGATACAATCAGGGGAAAAAAACAGAAACACTGTCTCGTCTTTATCCCAGCTGCATCCATTTAGCTGCCCCCCATTTTCTCCCTGTCAACAGGACCCGTTGACATCAGCTAACTTCCAGAATAAAATTAATGGTATTCGCCAGAGTCAGAAGAAATACTGAGAGCCACACTTGCTGAAAAGTAAATCGGCTATGTAGTTATTTTTATTCACCAGCCACTCTAGGATATCAGTGCGCACATATGAGTAATGTAATGTTTATTTCATACGGATGAATTATTTAGGAGAACATTTGTCTTATGTGCAAGGATTCATGTCAAGGTATCTGTCAGTTCAAAGGAGCTGAAATGTTCCCCAGAAATTATTCAGGAATGAGAGATTGTGGCCTCGAGCGATGTGCTTTAAAATGTTGAGATGTGTCAGTCTGGTCGTGCCACAGTCTTTCACTCAGCTGAAAATGACAACACACAGTAGTTAAATAACTGAGACTAATACACTTAAAGAAAGAAAAACAGCACAGCATGTTGGCTGTTAGAATTAAGCAGAAACAGTAATGAACAATATATTTCAAGAAAAACAAAAACAAAAAAAATAGTCTTGTCTAATGAACCCACTATCCAGATGGTTTTAATAATCAACACAAGACTGGTTAAGTATTTGAAAAGAAAACCGCAACCTCAGGTCTACATGGTGTCACGCTTCGTAAGTTTATATGGCTACAAAGATTGCAGGACACAATAGCACAGTCTTTCACTGATCAAAGTGTTTCAGTGTGTATTGCAGTCCAGTCTCGCGCTAAAACTGTTCACTGAAAGGACAAAAAACATTTTGTCACTTAACCCTCGTGGTATTTCGCCCCGCAGTTTGGGGTTTGTTCGCCCAGGTATCGAGTTAACTATTAATGAGATTTCTGCCAACTGTGAGTGGAATTTTGTTTGTGATGTACAGCAGTGTGAAATAGCCTCCCTGTTACTCTGGATAATTCACAGAACACAATGTCACAATGTGTTTTTTAGGGACAATTTATTTGATACTTCTGTTTAAATTGCTCATATAGAGGTCTGATTACCCATAGTAACCAGGACTTTGTTTCCAAAGAGACATCGAGGTAGTACAAAAATTCTGAGTTCTCCCAGTAAAGTCTGGGGACTCACATGAGACAGATGAGTAGTCAAAATCAATGAAGCAGAATCTGAGATATCTTGGTTTTTAGTCCCTTGTATGGGACAAGCTACAAAATTTTAGTAGCTTGTTTGGTGCTTGGTTAACAATTTGTAGTGTCCAAGGCCAAGTCAAATTAACCCCTGATGACTTTACGCAGGTCTTAGTCTTACAAAGCTCCCCTATATTAGACAACTGTTGAGTAGTACTCTCCATGGTGAGTAAACAGATTTAAATGTTGGAAATTGATCCTTTAGCCGTATATTTTCATTGGTGAAATTCCCCTCACTGTATTATAGTGGGGGCAAGAAAATCTTGACAAATCGACATGCTTGGCTCAATACCACTGGAAGTAAGTTTGAGAACATGTTTTGGGGAATTTGGATGAGCCAACTCTTTAAAGCAGATGGTTTGAAGATACACACAGTGGTCATGAATCTTAAGAGCAGACATTAATCGACACACTTGTGAAGTGACGAGGCTGATGGGAACTAAATAAGCCAGAGAGTTATCATCAGTCATCCTCCACATCCAACCGGGTGAAGTAGAAAGTTATCCTGGCCCCTTCATCTGTATCATACAAAGCCTGGCAGGTGTACATCCCCTCTGCGTCCCTCTGAAGCTCCTCTATGACCAAAGCAGAGCTGTTGATGGCCACCTGCATACGGCCCAGGCTGCTGGACGGAGAGTGGAGCTTCGGGCCCTGTCCATAGTTGTAAGCCACTGCTACGTTATTTTCAGTTCCTGGTTTGGTGAAGCCCCAGATGAAGATGGTGGGCATGGTAGAACCACAGTCCAAGGTGACTGAGCCTCCCACTCTCGCTGTAGCACGAGAGCGAATGTATTCCACCTCCTCTGGGTCAAGTATCTCCAGACCTGTAACACAAGACAGCCGGAGTCAGTTACTATTACTGTAAGGAAAGAGAAGGTCTGGTGTTGTTTTCTTGTCGTCAACAAAAACAGCCTCCACAAGCTCAGTATTGACAGATGTTTATTAGTAAGTGTCTTCAAAAAAGTTTAACAAGACCTCACAGTTTGTTGGGAACGGACTGCGTCAGCTCTTGAGGATGAACAACACATAATTAAACACACTCGTAGTTTATCTGCCTCTGGCCTATTTGATGGATCACATTTTATGGCTCTCCCTCTGGCTGCGCTTAGCAATTTGACACAATAATGACAGCAGTTTGTGATAAAGAAAATAGTCTACTCGCCCCAACTTGTCTCCAACTCAACATCTTTGTTGTTAAAGTAAGCTAAAGTACAATGAGTCTTTACCTTGTAGAGGAAGAGCCAGCCAGCAGAGGAGCAAGCAGAAATAAGGGATCATCCTCACACTCCCTGCGGTGCCACAAAGCTTCAGCTGGAAATCTAAAGTCAGGAGGCTATTTAAAGCCTATCACAGTGGTGAAAGCGTGTCTCCTCTCCAGTCCACACTGCTGTACACACTGAGAGTGACTGAGCGAGGCTGGAGGACTGACAGGGAGAATTCTTTCAAACTACACTGGAGTCACTTTAAATTATTCATCAATGCTTCTACCTCCCCAGTGTCGCTCAGTTTTGCCTGTCTCTCCAGCTCTCCACTCATGGCTGGGCTAATGGCTAGACCTGAGAGGGAAAGGTGTAGGGTGTCAGAATGATGCCATTGCTTCATATATTATTGAATAAACCGGAGGAGATAGCCTTTTTAGAAATTCCATCACTTCCAACGTGAAATGAAAACCAGGGCCCATGCAAGGTCGGAAAATCGTCTCGGAGGCGCCCACACAAACACCTGCGAGTTATTATTTACCCAATGAGTGCTATGCAGCCTGAATAAAATCACCTCTGATTCATGTCATCTACTGATAACTGGTTTTCTCATGACTCAGTGGGCAGCATTGTGTCATCTGATGCTGAAGCTTAGACCAGTGTGAATCATGAAAGCAGTGCACATAGACACTTAAAAATGCATGGGATGCTGCATAATTCATGTATGGATATTAGTCCCAAAATCCTTAAATACTTGTTGAAGTAGGACACTCATGCATGTATTTCTGTTGTTACAAAAATAAAGGCTCTGTTTAGACTAGATCTAGGTGGAGACAAACAGTGAGCATCATTAGTGGTGCCATGCAGCAGCTGCCAGTAAAAGTTCTGTTTCCCAGAGCCTCTGGCTGATATTTAGGCCTGCTAGCTGCAACAGAAGAGGCTGAAGCTGAGCAGTGCTGCTCTACAAGCAGCCCATAAACCTACTCTTACTGGAGGCAGCCCCAGACTGAGGAGAAGGCTCTAATTAGTAAGGACTTAGTGTTCAGCTCTTTTTTTGGGGGGGGGGGAGACTATATTTAGAAGGTTGTTGGAAGACAGAGCAGATGTAATAAAAATGCAATATAAAACAACATGGTTTCTGAGGGCAGAGTGGACTGGCAGATGAAGTTCAAAGATGTGTCAGTAAACAGATTGCACAATGATGTTTCTGATAAAACTGCCAAGAAGTAAATTGCAATGGAAAATATTGACCTGACGATTATGTACAAAAGACTCAAAATGTTTGCAAATGAGCAGAAAGTTCGTAAGAGTGTGGTAGTCCAAAGAGTGCGCAGGAACAAGACAACATGTTTACGAGGAGTTAACAAATTAGACTTGGTGTTTTCTTATGAAAGAGCTATCAACTTGTTGGAAGGCAGTTTTTAGTTTTTTGCACTCCACTGGCCAGTTCTCCTGGATATATAATAAGCATCACAGTACATTATTAACTGTGAAGGGCAGCATTGGCGTACAGTCTGCCAGAAATATATTAGAAAGGCTTTAGAGGTAAAATCATTTCTCTTCTTTATAACTTTAAGGTCCAGTGTGTAACATTTTGGAGGATATACTGGCATAAGTGGAATATAATATTCATAGGTATGTTTTCATTGGTGTATAATCACCTGAATATAAGAGTGAGCTGTTTTTATGTACAGACGCCGTGGGTTGCCTTCTGTGAAATCCACCATGTTGAACCACCATGTGTTCTCCACACGGAGTTTCCCAGCTATCGTAGCTTCTCACACACACTTCACAGCCCCTTCTCATTCCCAGGTCATCCAATACAGACAAGTTGTGTTCAGTTTGTTGCAATTTTGCTACTTCTCTGCTGCAGGTCCCATTCACTGAAGAGGGATGTGGGTGGGAATAGCTAGGTAAGTTGACCCTGCATCACGGACATAAATTGGTTTACGCTTTTGCATTTGCCACTTTAGCAAAGTGAGTTGACATCTGATCTAAATTAGGCCTTAAATAAGCAACATAATTATCCTCAACACAATACATTCATTTTGTGCACAGTAAAAACGTAAGCCCTTGCCAGTGCAGGGAGCCGCTGACACAACCTACTTGCAGCTGCTACACCAGGCCATAATGTACAAACTGTGACAAAAGATAGAAGGAGTGTGATTTGTCATTAATGGGACCAGTAAGTCCTGTTCTGTTGGAATAAGAACTGACCAAATTCTTTACTGGTGAAGCACATCCTTTCTAAGCACTGCAGTCCTGCACACTAGGGCCTGCCACATATGCTGGCTGCCTGCCTGATTTGCTGCCTGGCTGCTTGCAACTTAAAAAAAAAATGGGAAGGAAGAAGACCAGGCAACTGGAAAATGTGAGTCGCTGAAAAACAAAATGTTGTGGATGGTGGTCGGTGTGGGGGGAGAGTTTGCGACAAAGGGAAGGTTGCATCTTATCTGGACCCTCTTAGCCCTGTAAAAGCTTTCAGGTGCTGTGCCCCATTGAGCAGATCCGGCCGGGCCAAGCTTGAGCAACTTTTTTTGTTCTTGGCAGCAGATGAGAGAACAGAATCAGACCCAGATAGCTGGGACTATATAGGGATCTGGGTAACACATTACTGCCACCCCAACATGTGCCACCCGCCCAGACTGTGAGCACTTGGCAACACTGCACTTTATGTGAGAGCAAAGCTGGCAAAACAGGTGGGTTTCTTTGAGCGTGCCCTATGATTAGATCAGTCATTACCACTGGCATTGTTGAAAGCAAAGCTAACCTCTCATTTCAGAGGACCACCTGTATTGGAATGTGTTACTAAAGCCTAACAGCAGATGATTCAATCTCTGGATGAGAAAAATAGTCTGTGTGAGGATGTGTTTCCACTTATGCTCTAATGAGATTCTGATTTGCTTTTATTTTCCTTTATTTTCACAGTGCTGTACAGCCACTGTTTATTTATTTCTCAGGTTTTATCAGACTTGTCCAGTGTCCAGCAATGTTGACTTCCTCCTATTTGTAAGTTGCTGTCCTCTGTACCCTGCTGTCCTAAGACTTGAGTCACATACATCTCAAGCTGGCTGCAGCTGGGAGGTTTTCTCCTCCTCTTCCACCTCCTCCTCCTCCTCCCTGCTTTTTCTTCAGTTGACAGTTGTGTCAGGGACCACACATCGAGGAGGTGGAGCGAGGCTGTTGTACTATTCTTGTAGACAGGCTTACATATATTAGCCAGCCTACCGTATATTTCTACTCTATCATCATTTATCGGTCAGGCAGGCAGAGTGGAGGTAAGCAAGGTTGTGCAGCGGCTTGTGCTCGTAAAGCACAGGGGCCCACCACCATGACCTCCATTTCCCTCCTGGGTTACTCATCTCATAGCCTCAGACCTCACCATGTTGGCCTCCCTCTGCAGAGGGCTCCCTATTGGGCCACTACCTGAATCACAGAGCAGAGCACAGCCACAGATGACTGGCCTTGGGACAAGGGCAGCAGGAAGGGGCCTCTCTCCACAACTGAGCCCCAGGAGTGCTCAGGCACAAAATATTGTTTTACAGCTAACCTCTGCAGTCCTGCAGCCATGCACAAATTGTTTTCCTGCTAATATCTAGGCTCAGTGTGGTGCTAGAATCAAGTTTTTGTACAAGTGACAAAATAGCTTGCTTACTACAGTCTCAAATACATAGAAAATGTTGAAATAATACTAAATAAATAAATAATACTAATAGAAATATTACAATCAGGTGATTTGCATTGGAAACAAGTATCAAAAGTAGAGCATCACACACCTATGTACTTAAAGGACCAGGAGTTAGGGATATCTAGTGTTGTAGTTGCAGATTGCACCTCCTGGCGCGATATGCTGCCGCTGTTCGCCGATAACTTTTTTAACCCTTGCGTCACCTTTCCCTTCCAAGCATGAAAAAGTACAGTGGCCATGAAAAGCACAGAAAACATCTATCCCACCTATCTACAGCCAGGGTTTGGTTTGTCCTTTCTTGGCTACTGTGGAAACATGGCGGTTCAGCATGGCGGACTCACAGCGTCTGTAGATATAAAAGGCTCATTGTAAGGAAACAAAAACATAACAATTCTTATTGTCAGGTAATTTTTCATTAAAACTATGAATATTATATTCCACATCTGCCAATAGATTATTGCTTTAAAGCAATAATTAGACATTTTAGGAAAAATGCTTAATCACTTTCCTGCTGAGAGTTTGATAAGAAGATTGAGTCTCAACTCTCCCTAAAACTTGTTGTATCTTTATCAGATTTATTTATCAAAATATTGGCGATATGGCCAAGTGCAATATCCAGTTATATATAAGGTAAAATGTGTGTCAAGACGATGAAAAAAACATTTGGTACAGACAATTTTTTTCAAAGAAAATTAAAATTGTAATTGCAAAAATGATTATTCCCACTAATCGTAAATTATATCGCCATTGCAGTATCTCTCAAAATAATCACAATATGACCGTAAACTCTTTTTTTTTTTTACCAGCCCTATGTCTTCTGACTACTTCCTGTCTTTATCCCAATCTAAGCTAGCTACCTAGATATTTACCGCACACACGTGAGACTGGTATCTTCCTGTTCAACTTAGCTGAATATCTAAAACACATTCTTTATGTCTGAAATAGTTCTTCTTTTAATTGGTAGCAAAAACGATTTCGTGTTTAGATGGACATACTTGAATAACAATACCGGAAACTTTATAGACTTCAAACAATCGAATTGTTGGACAAACAAAGTGACCGAACAAAGGACATTGCCATCCTTAAATAAAAGTATAAGTAAAAGCTTCACCTCTGCATAATAAGACAAATGTTAATTGCTGAAAACAAAGGCTGGTCTGTATTTTCTACATGGGTAATAAAAGAAAAGACTTGTTCTGGTTCTGAATGGATGAGTTAAACTAGCTTTGAAAGGTCCGTGGATACATTTGCTCTCACAGCCAAACTAGAAAGGATTTGATGATCACTTCCACAAAACTTTCATAGCAAGTCCTTTGGTTTTATGTTTAGTGTTGACATCTTGTTTTTCTCAAAACAAGAAGAAAAATCTGTCATTGGCGTCAGATTATTTAACTTGTTCCCAATTAAAATCAACTTGTGTAAACAATTTACTTGAATGAAGTGTTGTTCTCTAGTGGAAAGATCTGCTTATTTTGCCTTGTTTCAAGATGTTTACAGAGTTCTGTAACAAGAGAACCCA